GCTTTTTTTCCTTTAGAAAACTTTTAGTTTATTCATAATTAATGGATACTCTCTCCTTTTTGTGACCAAAAAAGAAAATGCACTCATAATTCAAAGCTACACAGAATATTATTGTTGATTTATCCAAGGTTAAAACAAGATTCATTTTAATCAGATCTTTCTTGATTAATTCAATTTAAAATGGTTTGAAGTTCCACGTTGTTGGTATTTTAACTGAAATCGGATCATTTTTGAATGGTGGTATATGGGTACATGATGACACAAGTTTATATAGAATAAATAGAATGTGGCTAGCATGAGACTAATCGAATTTCAGTCGAAACATCAACAACTCCGATAATCCAAACCAAATTCAAATTGAATGAAATCGCGTACACGTTGCACAAGTCAATGGCTATCTAGACTCATTAGTTAAGTGAATAAATAGTGTGATGGCGTTTGAAGCAAATAGGTATTGGGTTCGAGTCCCGGAGTGAACATCAACTCTCTCAGATGTGACAAGTACATCCACATTAGAAGTCCCGAAAAGCGTGTTCTGGATTCTTCTACTACCAACCACAATCGATCTATTCAGTAGTGCAGATGGTATTCTATTCATTAAGCCGTTGAAGTGACAAAATTTTATGCAATCATTCAAACTCTCAACAGTTTGAATCATAGAATTCCGTTGACACTGACAAACAGATAATTATGATATTGATTATAGCTTATTGATCAATCAGTATGATGATTGTAACGTTTTGTACTTTCTTGATTTACACTTCAAGTTCAATCGCTTGAACTTATACATAATTTTTCTCTTTATTGTCTTACTACTGTGACACGCGATTCGTTCGAATTTAGATGAGTATTTTTGAAGTTTAAGTTGTAAAACTATTGAAAAAGTCTTATAGTCATTGATAATTTTGAAAATAACAAATAAGTTATGGGAGCTGATAACGATAAAAATCAGGGTTTCTAATGAAATCAGATAGTTTTCATAAACAATATGTATGTGTCCAACATGTTATAGCATGCATAAAAAATGAAGATGCGTAAAGAAATAAAGATTTGTTCATTTGTATTAGTTGTTTGAATCTTTGCATTGATGCTTACGACTGCAATTGACCAGTCTGTGTGGCTTAATGTGCATCCTGGATGGATTGTCTCGGTATTGTTTTTTAGATTACAAGCGTGATTAACAGAGGTTAGAGAAATTGAAAGAAATCGTTGTTGTTCATAGAATAAGTGACTGGTAAAAAAAGTTGTTGAATTTTACTGATTAATTATTAGTGACACACTTTGAAACCATGAATCGATCAATGTTAGACCACCTTGAGAAACCTGGAAGCACTGGACGGCTGTCTCGTCCTGGTATGGGACTCATTAGCAGTGCGCGTCCACGACTCCTGCATCCCGCAGGATTCGAACCCAGGACCTTCAGCATTGTGCGCGAACGCCTAGCTTCTGGACCACTGAGCCGGTATCTAACAGTTTTAATGTCTAACTTGATCCTGTGGGGTGCAGAAGTCGTGGATGTGCACTGTTGATAAGTCCCATGCCAGGACTTGGTTTCAAAATGTGCAACTTAACAGTCTTTAATACCCCGCAATGTAATTATTAGTTGACATTGGATAGTTAAGTTTAGTCCATATCTCCTACTTTTTGTTGTTAGCATTATCACATATATGTAGGGATTAACTATTAGCCTTTCGTTATATGTGAACCAAAGCGTTTTTTTGGAAGATTCTTGTGCCATTCAAGTCGAAATTGTATGACCAAATTCTATCAAGTGCAATCTTATCGCTTATTTGTTCTCTGACTTCCACAAGTCTTCTGAAGATTTAGGAATGTGCTTTAGGCAAAGTTTGCCATCCTTCATTCTCACATCCAACTGTCTTGATATTTCACTGACACACGTAGCATTACACTTTATTACGTATGATCTCATTTACACAATTTTATTGACCCTCTTTTAGTAATGAGTCTTTGATTCTTACTAGTTTACAGCTTAGAGTATAGTTATTTTGAAAAATTACCCTTATGATGTGATGAATTAGGATTCTTCTGTAGTTTCATTATGATGTGAGATCCCTACGACTCTTTGTTCATATTTCTCCTTATTATTTTTTGAAGGTCTTTCTGAATTATTCCTTTTTCATCATAAAAATGGACATAATTATATATATATATATATATATATATATATATATATATATATATGTATCTCATGATGAACATTCTGTAATGTGGTTGTTTGTAAACAATTAGCCGAATAAATTGCCATCTAGACAAACCATTAGACTAAATGAACATTGAATCAGATGACTTGAACAATGATTAGTCGAAATAATTGTTTAACACTATCATAAATGTACGTATTTCAATGATATAATACATTGGTTTGTTTGTAGCTGTCGTACTTGGTAAATGTTAGCTACTATATTTCATCAATCCATGTTCACATTTATCAATAAAATAATTCTATAGATTGATTTCAATTTTAATTCATCAATTTGTACAATCGTGTTGGTATTCTGCTAAAATGGTACGATGTAAACGCATTTGATTCACAGCAAGAATAAATTGCTACTCACACGATAACTTATTAGTAGTACATATTGGAATATCGCCTAGAAGTTGTCACCAGGAAATTAAAATATTTTGTAAAGCAGAAAAGAAGTAAGAGAGGATAGTCAGTGACCTGCTTGCAATGCTGAGCATGCAATAAGATGATTAGAGGTTATATATGTTCCAAAATTTTTACTTACTACTTGTCAGTCTGTGATCTTAAATCATACAAATGAATATTTGTTTTTATAGACCAGTTTGACATAAGGAGCTCACAAGTAATCTAGTTTAAAATTATACATCACAGTTCAAACTAGTCTACAAACATAAAAGTTATCAATATTTTATGAATGTTTTGAAAGGTTACCACACAAGTTTCATTGGAAATTTGATTTAGATCAGTTCACAAATATTAATTAATTACGTATGGCTACTGGGATGATACTCTGTAAGGAGTGAAAATTCAAAGATAACATTATCTCATCTATGTTTCTACATTAACTAGAACAGGTTCATCAGGAAAACATCGACAGTTGACAGTATGCAGAACGGAGCATCAGGGTAATATCAGCAGACAACAAATAGTGGAATGTGTTGGGGACGTTAGATCCACAGAACTCGCTTGATGAATGCCTTATTTCGGATTTCACGTTTGCGAGCACTGGTTGATCAGTTGATCTTGAGATTCCATTTCTCACCAAGAAAATCCTTAGCCGTGATTGGTTGCTGTGTATTTTAGTGTGCTGTTTTTATGACTATCCCAAGGACGTTTCTATGATGTATGAGTAAACGAGATTTGTGTGCTTGATTGCACTGTGCTTGCTGGGTGTTTGTAGAATATACTTTGTACGCTATATCAAGACTTTTGTTTTGACGTTTTCGGATCAAGTTAGCCTACCTGGATCCACTGGTCACTCCTCACTAGAACTCGAAGCTAGTCACTAGTGAGCGGGCATATGATGATTTTCAATAAAGGGTTGTGGAGAAAATTATTACTCGGAAATCATGAATCGACCAATGTTAGACCACTACGGGGAACCTGGTACAAATTGGTAGAAAAGGGGCACCAAAATATGTATGCGCTACATAGATCATTGAATTTGTGAGCCGGAATACTGTCTTAGTGCCCACACCGAAGTGGGTGGTCCTCTTGGGGGACTACTATTCAAACCTTTGAACTAGAGGTCTAATCCACAAAACAGTGGTGCCATTTTGGCCGTGAGGACCCTGAAGCCAATGTGTACGACTGGTATGGAATCAGGGTTTTCCAACTCCCCTACGTTGATCCTCTGTACCCATTAACCTAGTCTAAGCGCCCTATATTCATTTTTCGCCTTCTCAATTTCGTAAACAACAATCACACATCAAAAAGGTTTGTTTGACTTCCCTGACAGTGGACCATGTATGCATAACCGTATGAGCAGTTTGAAAGGAGAAACGAACTAATGCCCGCCTTCAGCCATACCAGGGCATCTGAGTGTAATTTTGTGTTTAGAGACATTCATGAGGTCTAAGGAAAGTAATCTAGTTTGAGAAGGTTAGTGAGACTAACCTACCCTGTTCAGTATGTTACGTTATTTCCAAAACTATTCTTACACACAACACCTTATTTAGAATTGTTCATCAAATACGGACAGTACTGTTTCGAAAGGACAACCTAAATGATCAAGTCAAAAACAAAAAGGATACACATTATTGAAAAAATGACATATTATTTAACAGAAAAAGAAAACCACATTTATCACGACAATATATCATTGTTTGCTTCTCACATGGATGTATGTATGTATGAGTGAATTCATACATTTATGCGTAATGTTGTCTAATGAAATGAATCAGATGAAAACAGGTGAAAAATCAAGAAACTAAGCAAAACAAAACAACAAAACAAAAGAGAATAAAATCAAAACATCATCAATGTTCATACATATTTGAAAAAAGCAAAAGCAACAACTGTTAAGATCCAATTATGGTAGTAAAGTAGTTTTTTTGGTGAACCACACGGTACTCATATTCAAACAACAGTCAGTAAGTAGTACATTGACTAATGTTTCGAAAGATAGACGAGTGAATCAACACTCATGCGTACGAACACACACACACGTATACATTTATGCAAACTGATGCATAAATGTGATGAGAATGTGTTAATTAGAAAACTCTAACTAATACTAATTAGTATTTAATGATGTGAATTAGTTTATTCATGGAAAAAACAAGAAAATGATAAGGACTAGTTAATTTAGGAAGTTGAAACAAGAACTTTGAAAAAATTTACACATAAAGGCAAGGCAAGAAAACAAACAATAACACAACAGCAAAGAAACCAGAAGTGACAAGAGAAAAGTGTGTACGTGTACCACCAGGTAGGTATTTGACAAAAATCCTGTAGTCTATCTGAAATGAACGGCAGCAATATAACCAAAATGACAATTCATTATTTTATCGCTTCAAATGTTACGCAATTTTCCAAGTCTACAATTACGATCGATGGATTTTTCTTGTAGAAACATATGTAAACACTTTTCATTCTGAGCTAATGGATGTCCAGCCACCCTTGAAACGAAATAAAGACACAGAGAGGAAAAGAACAAAACTCGTTGAGTTTAAATGAAAACAAAGCAAGAATGTATGTACAACTGAGATTTAAAAAAAACAATAGATAATATACAGAGACAAGCGGAACTAATATAACCTCAAAAGCAAACGGCTAACTAATACTGAGGAATTTATTATGCACGGCATATACATACTTTCGTACAAGTAGACATGATACATGTTATTTTATCCATGAAGTGGTGAAACTTCATCAGTTGAGGTGGTTGGGACATGTCTTGCGTATGCCCAACCACCGACTGCTCGACGAGCTTTGTTTTGTATCGTAGGAGTAGGTTGGAAGAAAGTGAGGGGCGGCCAAACCAAAACATGGCAGAAATCCATGAAGTCATTGACTAGTGGACTGAGCCATGTCGGTAATTGTCGACTACCTGGTCGGTGTCCGCGAGATGATAATAATCGATGGTTAGAGACCTTGAATGACATGGCTCGAAATCGTCCGCAATGTCTCCGGTGCATTTATTCTTTGTGTTCTCTCAAATCCTAATCTTCTGGATTCTTCAACACTTCCAGTTTTGACTTTCTAAACTTATCTCACTGAATCATACTTCTTGAATAGTATCTTCTAACCCTAACCTCTCCGATTACTTCTAATTCCCTTACTACCTCTACTACTATTGGATTTGAATTGACAATTATATCTCTGTGCTGATGTGGTATGGCAACATGAATTGATGTACTTACGTACCAAGTTCTACGTTGCATCTGACTGACTGACTGATACATGATAGGGAAAATATGAGATCTCTAGCTTAGCATAAGCTTGATTATGGGAGTGCAGGTAAGTCAAGTTGCACAACTCTTTATCAATGTCTTTTGTGGTTAACTCACACCCGATTGGGTTGAATTCAATTGATTCATAATGCGCACTAGAAATCCACAAAATTTCCCCCACCAATCTAGTCACTAATGAGCACATGATGTTAATCAGTATTGGTTCATGGAGACTGTTCAATGTCAGTGAGGTCATAGATCGATCTAAGTAAGAGAACCTGAAAGCACTGGAAGGTGATTTCATCTTACTGTGAGTCTTCGCTTGCAGTTTACGTTCCTACTGCTAACGAAAAAGTTGACGAAATCCTTCTCCAGGGCTTAAATGGGTGGATCAACAGAACATTTGATAGGAAACGCGCTTCAATTCACTAAAGATAACAAACGATGAGGATCGACATTTGGAAACGTTAAATTAGTTTCGCTGTCGATAAATTGGTTCTTAACAAATTACAACCTAATATCTGCATATCTTCTAAAATAGTACTATTGCCTGAGTACTAGACACACACACGGTACATAACTAATATTTGGCGCTATAACACAGTTTAAATTCATTTGGAATTTATTAAATAATCTCTTCTTTAATTAGTCTAATCGATGTTATGCACAAATCATCAAAATAATTAAATGATCATTTTGTAATCTGACTCATGACGTTGATCATCACTACTAAAATTAGTTGACCCGACCAATCAATACACATATATATATTTAAATAAGGTCAATTAGATGAAATTCCATTCATTTTGATTTTATATTGTTTAACAAGAATTGTAGAAATAAAATTTAAAATAAAAAAAAAAACAATGCGAGAAATAAGTGGGCATCATTTAAAGGAAAACAATAGCTAGAAAATCAATTTTTTAACGATTACGTTGTACGACTAAATTCGATTAATTTCTCTATATTAAGTATAAGATGTTGACGTGTAACCCTAACCTAGTGAGCAAGCTCAATTCACTAGTTCTTCGTTCAATATCGCTGCTCGCTACATAGTATGCATATAGGTCAAATGATAAATATTAGAATGCAAATAAATATACTATGCATTAAAATAGGGTAGCATAATTAATTTTTAATTATTTATCACTTATTAATTAGTACAAGTTTATAAACACCGACAAAATAAACTGAAAAAAACAAACAAATCAATATTTTCAAAACAGCTTACACATACGTTGACTAAAATATATTAAATATCAATCATACAAAAACACAATCGTACAAAACACATCGACTCGAAATTAGTTAGTTAGATACCTTATTTTGAAGGAACTTTAGTGTATAGAATTGAAATGAATTTCTTATTTTACACTGAGCATTGAATGTTTGTGAATCGAAGACATATATATATATATATATATATATATATATATATATATATATATATATATATATATGTTACATCATGAGAATAAACATGTGACTTTTCTATAAAAGCCAATTATCTAATACTAAACAACATTACAAGTTCATTTATGTCTGTGCATCTAAGATACTGTTCATATACGATAACACTGTTGTTCATTGTTGAGAAATATAATACAAATGAGCTAATATTACAAGGACAATATTATATTAGAATCCATGTTAGACAACCTAATTATCAAATAGAAAAGTACAATGGATCATTAGTATGCTTCGCTACGTGTTGAAATCTTAGTCAATGGTTGTGTAGATTTATTCAGTTTTAAAGAGCAATTCATAAATGCTAATCAAATTGAAAGTATGATATTGTGGTGTTCGCCATTGAAAATGGTACCCGAATTCTCTCAAAACTTTCTACTCGAATATTATTGGCTGACTAGGAGCTAACGATGTAATGTCAGTCAGTCAGCTACAAGGTACATTAGTTCAAGTTACCATACTGAATTAGCACAAAGAGATCGGATTGTCAATCCAAATCCCATAGTTCTTGAAGTTGTAGCAGTATCAGCGTTAATCGAAAAGATTAGGGTTAAAATAAATGATTCAAGAAATATAATCCAGTGAAGTAAATTTAGGAAGAGGAAGAGAGAAGTGAAGAGACATTCAGGAGATTAGAATTTAAGAGAAGATAAATAATGGATGCATCTGAGCCATCGTAGTCGATTTCGAGCCATATCATTCAAAGACTCTAACAACCGGTTACTATTTTATGTCGAACCCCAACCTAGTAGTCTACACCTATCAACGTGGCTCAATAACGTTGCTCGTCCAGAGAGTCGGTGGCTGAGCATACACAACATATGTCCACACCACCTCAACTGATGAAGATCTACAAATTTGTCAACTGATTTGCCATCCTTACCTAGTACCCGCTTCCTAAAAACAGCATCGCTTACTCGGTCGTCCCAGAATATGCTGCCAATGCTTCGAAGACATCAGTGATAAAATACCAGTAACCTACGAATATCCTCTACTCCTACTGGTTTTAGATCATAGGTGTCTCTGAAGCATTGCATGTGTTAGGAAACGGGTCCTAGGTGAGAATGGCAAATTAATAGATGTAGTAGTGAAACTTCATCAGTTGAGGTGGTTGGGACATGTGTTACGTATGCCTAACCGCCGACTGCCTCGACGAGCTATGTTTTGTGGTGTAGGAGTAGAGTGGAAGAAAGCTAGGGGTGTCCAAAACAAAACCATGAATTCACTGAAAAGTGGACTGAGTCATGTTGGTAGATGCAGACTAGCTGGTTGTAGTCCCGAAACGATAGTGACCCTGAATGTCATGGCTCAAAATCGTCTTCAATGGTGCAGATGCATCCACTATTTGTGTTCTCTCAAATTCTCACCTTCCGAATTCCTCATCATCTCTATCTTTCTATTTTTGAAGTTATCTTACTGAACTAACTATACTTCAGGAACATCTTCGATCCCTAATATTCTCCATCAACGCTAATTCTTCTACAATCTTCACCCTTATGGTCTGTGCTAATGTAGTATAGCAACCTGAACTGATGTACGCACATACGAAGTTCTACGTTATAATTGACTGACTGGAGCCCAATATACGTAAAGGAACAATGAATCCGCTCCACTTTAACCAATTTTGAGTTGAACCACTAGTCTTCAACGATAAATTACGATTATCGCATTCAGTCAAACTAATCAATCAAGTACTTTTATGATAAAACATGTAACATAGTTTAATTTAGTGACAAAGATAGTCATTTAGAAAAAATTATGAAAAGTAAACATCTCGTGAAAAACATACCTGTTAATAAACTCCTCTAGTCCTTTTCGTCGCTCCTCGATGAATTCCTCGTCGAATATGCCTTCATCACCCCGAAAAGGTAACTGGCGTTTCCATGCTTTACTGGGTAATCGAGGAACAACAATCTATCGGAAGAGAGGTCAAAAATAAAGCTAGGTTATTATACTTCCAGACCAAAACTTGCATACTTCTAAACTACGAATATAACCATAAACAACTAGAAAGCGAGGTTAACTTAGTGAACAAACATAGTGGTTCTTCACTTTTCTGTCGCATTCTTGTTATTGAGATAATTGGTGGATTGGGCTTGCACCGGCGATGGGTTAGTCCACTGTACGAACATTCGCTTAATAATATTTTATGTTTCTGCATCATGACTTTTGAAGACAGAAAACACGATGTACGTACATACAAAGTTCTACGTTGTCACTGACTGACTGACTGAGAAAACATGTCGGATGTATTCGATCATACAGGTCTTTGAACTATTCCTCGTGCATGATAGAAACACTGAGTACACCTACGGCTGAGCGTCAGATAACAGCTGGATCGCTGGTTTTATGAACGTTAACTGATTACAACTGAAACGTATCTTAGACATCCCTAACCGCCACTTACTATATTTTAAGCTGATTAGACATAGTATGTTACGATATCATCAGTTAGAACATTGTTGGTGTGAGATACTTCATCAAATTGCATATTACACAACCGAAAATTCAAAGAAACTATACTAGTTTCTGCGGACTCTTTAGTTATTCACAACCCATTGACAACACGAAGAGTAGACAGACAAACGATGAACACTGGGAAACTTGATTATTTCAAAGATCTTGGACTCAATCACAAATAAAAGGTCCTTAAACCTGTTTAGTTTGAGTTACAAAACTACTGAGACAAAATCACGCTTAGTGATGTACACATTTAACCCAATTTTTTGAGTCCGAAATCCGACTTTATCTTAAATAAAATAAAGAAACAGCCACATAGAATATAAACAATTTAAGCTGGTAAGTGCGGTTTTAGATAGTATTGTAGTGAAAGGATACTATGGATATGGATATCGTATAAATTTGAGCAAATATTTTCATAAATACCATCATTGATGAGGAAAACAAAGTATACTAAACTATTATAGAATCATGTTATAAAGTGCACTACTCAGTAATTCAGTCGGCTGTAACGTAGAACTTCGTACTTAAACAATTGGACGAAAAAGGGAAATAGAGGCGAATTTGGAGGGAAAAGGGCTAAACGCCTACTTCTACATCTAACGTATACTACTCAGGCGACAAGTCTCCTTACTTTGCCATAATACGAGAAACTTGGCAAAACTCAAGGAAAGGTTCAACTAAAATACAACGACTAAATTAAGAGCTTATAATAGGCGAAAATCAGACAGTTTCGCACTAATTTAGGCTAAAATTAGGAGATATGATGTTAACTTAAGTGAAAGGTATGCGACTATCAAAGTCCCAACCCATAGAAATTTGGCCCTTTTTGCGATATTTAAACCAAGTGTGCTATTATTTCCTCACAACTCGCCTTTACTTCTTTATCCGTGTTTATTTGGGGATTAACCAAGGGTAACTAGATTAGTAACATACCTTGCTTTCCCGGTCCAACTCGTCACGAAGCCATTGGAAATCACTGTACCTTCGACGAACTGACGACTCTTTGTGAGCAAAAATAGGTAAATTTGTCTACAGGAAACTAAATTAGCCACATATATACACGTACCCTTAGTTTAACTTCATAATCTGTGAAGCGATTTTTACCATAACCGTGAGTAAGAGGATCGCATACGTCAATCTCTAGGAAATTCGCTGGTGGTGAGTAAGCATCTTCTATGGTTTGCCTCCCAGGAACTAACCTCTGAGTTGCAGAGGCCACAGTTGCGGGTGACTCAAGCATAGCGCAATTTTGAAAATCTATCCGATATCCAATATTCAAGGTCTTTTTCACGAGCTAGTATAAACTAATTAATTTCGTTACGCTAGATTCTTGTTCTTTCGGTACGGTTCCAGGTACTTACTAGTGTCCAATGGATGGTGATATAACTATTCGACTGTTTAATTCTAGTCAGTTGGCAGTTGTTTCAGAGTTTGTGTCATGTGATTTCAGGGCAGTAAAGTTTGTGGACACTATCAGACCGAAGATCAATTAGTTGCAATGTGGAGAATAATAAGGATAAACGTAGAAGGCTAAAAGTATATACGAACTAAGTAAATGAGTGGATAACTTAGTTTATAGATTGGTAGTGACATTCTCAACATCAGTGTATACGAACGGGCCCAAAGTATCTGAGTATAGGCGAACGTTCAAGAATTATAGGCCGTGCAAAATAAGCTTACTGATTGTTCAAAGGCCAATGTTAAATATTATACATATATATTGGCAGTATTATAGTTTATTACTAATTACACAGTAATAGTACGCACCATAATGATCCAAAAATTAATTCCAGGAGTGACCTTCCCTCATACAGAAGTTAAGTAAATGTGTTGTCATAATGCTATTGAGTTGTAGCAGCAAACAGATTCTCAAAATATACTGGCCCCGTAAACTTTCACCACTGAAACTGACCTCATTGTTCTTACTAGACACACTGGAGTTAAAGATGCACGGCCAACATCCAAACTAAACCACTGTTGGGCTGGCTGTCACAATAACTGCCCGGTCTAGATCATTAACTTCTCGGCATCCCAGTAATCATTCATAGATGAATTTGGTCTCCTTCATCGACGACTGATTTCACTGAGAATGGTACAAAGTTGGTACAGGTTTGGATATCCGCAGTATTTTCTTTGAAAATTTCGACGTGATTCCCTGCGCTTGACTAAAACTACTAGTCTGTTTTTTGGTGTAATATTATATATATGCAAAAATATTTAGATGTGATCCTACATGTGTTTCCAGATTCTTACACATTTAAAATTTTTATCTCGTTACGTCAGAACACATCGAAGCTATTCAAGACTAGGACTTCTACGCCCCTTTGGTGGCCAATTTTGTTGACGTCGGGATCACCATTTGTTGTGCACTGGCAAGCGAAAGCTCGGAAGAATGAACGGAGCAGCGAATACAATGTATGATGCGACGTGACTTGAAGGAGCGCATTGGAGAGTGGCTTAGAGCCAATTCCTAGGATTACAATCCAAACGAATGGGTGAAGGGAGCGAACGAACAGGCGAAGCGCTTTAGAGAAGGCTAAAGATCCAACTCAAAGAGATAGAGCATGACTAAGAATATATAGTCAGACAAACATAAGACAGACATGCAACGAGCGAAATAGGCGAACATGAATAAAAGCGACGAATGACTAACAAGGTCAAATGACAAGTGGGACATGTCATGTGAGCTCATATAAACCAGACAATAATAAGAACGAATGGTACGTATAAATTGTTGCTACGTAAATGGCTTGGTCGAATAAACTAATCGAAATAAATGCAAGCGAACTGGAATATATGTGGAGGCACTACACAACTGGTGTCTCTCTTTTCCCATAATATTGAAGCTTCGTTCTGCTATGCAGAGGGACACTTGCACGAACACGAAATGATAGAGCGATAATGAATACAATGTCATGTGAGTTCAGCAGGTAGGTCACGCCCAGCAAGTTTACTGGTGATGTTTCTAAAAGCGGTGATTCTCAAACAAAGAAACCTAACCGATTAACAAAGTTGAACAAGCTATTCCATCACATCGGGGTGAAATATGGCCAAGAAGCAGCAGTTTCGCTACTTATGAGGTCTTTGTCCAGAGAATTATTGGCGAAGGCCACTAGTGACAACGCCTGTTTGATCTTCGACAGCAAACCTGAGTCACTCACGTTTCAGTTCAAAATAAAGCTGTGGGCAAACTCTCTGCAGATTATCAGAACAGGCTCCATTGAGATTTTTTTGACAGTTAAGTTAAATGGTGTAATATCACTGGCTTTCTTAAATTTGGACATGAAAACGGACGAATTATCATCTCGAGAAGAAGACCTCAGGATGTAAACTTGTTGAATTGACTGGTAAGTTTCTACCGACGGTAACACCGAATCGTACATTTCTTATAAAAGCTTTTATCGACCAACACAATGGAAATTGAGATAACCGCTAAATTAAACAGTAGTGAGAACGAAGTATCGTCTCCAGTGAAGTAACACACCGCTTATTCAACTGTTCTGGCACACGTCAAGTCAGAAGCACCCATTAAAACACAGTAGACAGATCTTACCAGTCAGAAACACTTTACAGCACCTGAGGAGACCTTCAAATATATCTTCTTGCTCTTAAACTCCAAACTTCTGATTCCGCTGGTCTTGGTATTATCGGATAAAACAGTGTTACCCTGATTACGTTTAAATCTTGTCTATTAAACAACTTAATATGTGTTTCACCTTCAACAGTTGAAGTTTGGTGATAACACTAGATACGAACAATTCTGTTGAATATTAGTGATGGACGCTTAAAATCAGGAAGCCAGGTAAAAGATGCCTATCCGGTTGCACTTTATCGGTATAAGTATGTTAGCTACTGAATCAGCGAAACAAGGTATTCAACGAAATTCGTTGATGAGGGTTTTGAGACATTAAGAGTCATGAAAACTATTTACAAATGAAAACGACGGGATTTAATAACACTCAGCGTATTCCTTTAACTTGGAATACTGATCCGACCGAACAAAACACTGCCACCTCAGTGGACAGCCTTAATAGGAGACTTGATAAACAGGTTCTAACACACCTGTTATCATATCGCTCTTGAACCACCTCTGACTGATGCGTGTCTCGAAAGTTGCTAGTTGCTATTATTGCCATCTCATCAGATCACTAACCGAATCTATCTCGCCTATTATCCGTGTTTCCTCTCCCTCGCTTACAGCTGCGTCCTCTCACACAATCTTCATTACTGATCAATTAACTTAATTATCCACTTATTTACTTAGTTCTGTAATATTCTTCATATTAGCATCAAACGTTTCTACTTATTATTCGCCACATTGCAACCAACTGGCCTCCGAAATGGTAATGTGATAGCTGCTGGTATTCAGAGACTCTACTGCCCTGAAACAAACGCATTCATTCAAATGACGGGACATGCAAACTCACAAACAACTGCCAACTGACTAGAATTAGACAGTCAAATGGTTATACTACCACCCATTGGACACTAACAAGTACCTCGAACCGTAACGAAAGAACAAGAATCGTGCGCAAAGAAGTCAACTGGTTTATACTTGTCCGTGAAAAAGATATTGAATATTGGAAGGAAATGGCCGCATTTCTAAAACTGAACAACCATTGGAATTGAAAAGAACTGTCAACAAACGGCAAAGTCAGAGTTTTAAACACAAATATCAAGTCACTTCTACTCTATGGAGCGGAAACGTGGAAAACTACGATAGCCATTTTCAGAAGATACTAGTATGCAACAGTTGTCTATGCAGAACACTTCGCATCCGTTGGCCAGGCACCATCAGCAACAACTTACTGTGGCAGAGAGCAAACCAGATTCCAGTGGACGAATATATCAGGAAAAAGCGCTGCAGGTGGGTAGGGCTCACGTTGCGGAATGCATCCAACTGCATCACAAGTCTAGACTTCAATGGGAACCCCCAAGGTCGAAGGAAAAGAGGAAGACCAAGGCGCGGGAAACGATCCACTTTCGGGATACTTTATCACCTACGAAGCTATAAAAAGTTGTCTCCATTCATTGGTTGACAATCTGAAAACATTTTCGGGAATACGGAACCATTCCAAGTCAGAATCATTGCGCGGTAGGTCTAGCTACTTCATTCAACTGCTCTATTTCTAGTTGCTTCGGCAGCATACATACATCCACTCACTCACAAACACAGGACTTGTGGACAAGTTACTGGATACACGCAAAGTTACTTACTAGTACGTGTAGAATCCTTTTTGAATGTTTTGTTTTTTGGAAAATCCCTCCATGTTTACATATTTTTGTTATGACATGACGGACTCTTTCTGTTGACATTTTTGGTATTTTATTTGATTCCAATTTGAGAATTTATCATTGTATATTGTTATTATTTCTATATTTTGTACTTATATTGAAGTTTTTGTGTTTGCTTCTGAACTGTATATATGTTGTTTAAATTTGATCTTTAATATGGCTACAGCCATATTTGGATTGATACAGTGGCGGTTGGACTTAACGTCACTTATTCATCTTTGTCTTGGATACTCTTCGGAGTAATTGTAACCTGGAAGGTGCATCAATTCCAGGTATTGCTTTGTATTTCCATCTTTTAATATAATACAGACCGTTTTCTCCTAGAATTGTCGTGTTTTCTGGACCTTGAATTGGGAGATACGCGTTCGGATTGCACTTATTGGAAACCATTTGAACTGCTACGGTAGAAATCCATTTACAATACGGTCAAAGGTAAAGTTGCAATTTCGGAGTACTTTCAGGCTCTATTCCTTGTAGTTTTATTATATACTACTAAATTTCTTCTTTACTAAACCCCTTTTTAGAAATCAGGAATATGTGCTCTCAGATGGATCTGAAGATCATAATCCTAACTGAAACAAAGCTATCCCCTGACATTGCAGACGCAAAGTGAGCTTACCAGGCATGACACTCTTCCCAAAAGATAGGCAACACCAAACTGGAGGTGGAGTGGCGATATACATGTATATATATATATATATATATATATATATATATATAGCAACTTAAAAGCAGAGCGACTATACGACACCCAACTAACCGACCTCCTTCGGGTACTAAGGCCCAGAAAAGCAAACTGATTGAAGTATTACTTCAACTGCCACTCCTAGGGTTTCATCAAATACTCTCAGCTGGAGATTTCAACACCCCATCTTTAAATCTCAGCAATCAGAGTGTAACTCCCACTGGTTGGTTCCGAAGACAACTTGGTACAGCCATTAGAAG